CTTCTTCTTCTTCATTTCTCGATTTTCATCGTCTCTATCTCGGCCACTGATACTTGCTACCGCACTGGCACTCGCACTGGCACTGTCCACGTCATCCGAACTGGACTCAGGCTGCCGAATCTAAAGTGTAAACAAGGCAATTACAATTAAATTGTAACTGTTTTCTAAATTTTATTCTGATCTCGTTAGTGATACAATTCATCTAACACTTTTCTTCCTGGACTTCGCCAAAATGCAATACAGTGAAACAAAATAAAATAAAGGAAACGAACGTTTAAAATTCAATAAATTAGACTCAAGATAAACAAAACCAAATGAGATAAACTTACAATCAAGCGTAAGAGGTCAGAGGCCATTGTATTTGTACGATAACTGAAACAAATTGAAAAGAGAAAATTTGACTGAAGTGTACTTCTTGGTACATTAGCACCCCAACTCAGTCTGTGTTTTCTATTCACTTGAAATTAGATTATCCGAGAGCCACAGTATGCGTTAACGTTACTACGCAACACAGGGACATGGGGAAAAGTCACAGGATTTTACCAGAGAAAAGACAATGATATAGATATTCTTGAAATGTGCGTATAATATATAAAAGAAACTAAAAAGACACAATGCCTGTGTATCCTTATAGCGATGAATACTGTTGACGGCTCCCTGCCCTTGTAATGCGCATCAAGGAACTTGTAGCGCCGCAAGTTAAACCCCTGCAAAGGGGTCCATCACCTGACTTCCCCGCAACTTTTCTCTTCAGCTTGAAGTAGTCAGTGCGGATTGTTTTGAAGCGATTAAAGATCTGATCAGCTGAATTACAAATAGATACAAGTGAAACATTACAACAATGTACAATGACAATCACAGGACAATGAACACCTGCCTGCAGGAAATGACGAAGTTTAAAATGTACCAGAGAATAGACACCTGGAGGGAATTATAAAGAGGAAATATATAATACTTACGGGTCAGGCCGAGTCTTTCCTCACTCAGCCACGCGTTTTTTTAACTTTGTTTTTGTAGTCATGACGAAAAACGCGGAATGCGCTTCGAAAAACGCGGCGATTTCTTCATCTTGTTGCTCCATGATTACCAGCTTTTTTCCTGAGTCAGATGCCCCTCTCCCAGTATCTGTCTCACTGATCTCACTTGAACTTGCACTTGCATTGCTGCTGGCAGGAACTTTTTCCCTTACCCTTGAGCTTTCTTTGTCCACTACATTTCTCAAGACCCTGTGCTCATCATACTGGACCAGCACTCGTCCCATATATTTCCACAAGTGAAACAATGTCAATTACTGCACCAGGTAATACTGTTTTTTTGTCATTGTTTTGTTTAGAATAGATTTTGTTTAGAGAAAAGAATGAAGTAAAGAAATATGACGTTTTTTTACCATTTATCGCTATACATATTATTGAATGAATGAAAGACCTTTATTGCACATTTATGCTCTTTCGAGCTAAGTACAGGTCATGAAGACAAACTAAATAATACTATTGTTTACAGGATCGACTTCTTCTCGCTTCATAAAACAATTGTAGATGAATGAACATATAGAACTTACAAAACACGGCTTGTCTAATTTCATAAGATATATAAATTTTTCTAAACTATTCAAATATTTAAAACTAGGAAACTTATTTTGAATACAGTTAAAAAGAATATTTCGCTCGCTATTGTATAAAGAGCAATCTACAACAAAATGACACTCGTCTTCTATCTTATCTAAATCACAATATCGGCAAATTCTTTGCTGCAAGGGAATGTGGTTGTGTCTGCCTTTTTCTATGTGGAGTTTGTGGGAGCTAATCCGGAGTTTCGTGATGGCTGTTCTGTGTTTGATGTTAGGAATCTTTAGATAATCCTCCTCGAGGTAATCGTTTTTTAATAATCTATATGTTCTTAGCTTGTTGTTGTTACGCATCTCCATTGTGGAAGATTGAAAATACATGTCTTTTAAACGTTGGTGGATGGATGGAATAATTTGAGAGGGATTCAAAACAGAGGACATTGGCTAATTCCAGACAAAGGCAAAACCACATTCCTCTAGCGTCTTGCGAACTCCAGAAGCCCAGCATTTAGCACCTGATGTGTCCAGCTCAAGCTGACACAGAAGGGCATCTGCTGAGAGACTATCAGCTGGCACGTTCTGGCGTATTCTAATGAAATGTTTGATGGCGTTGAGAGAGGCTTCAAGTCTAAGAGGATATCTCCCCAATTCCGCCATCACAGCAAGATTACAGGCGGATTTGGGGACATTTAATGATTGTTTGCAGAATTATATATCCTCCCAGGCTGATGGTGAGCCCATAGCATCCTTCATCCCCACACCAGGGGTCAGCCTGGAGGAGTACCTAATCAAGATGGCAGAGAATGGCGCCTGGGCAGACCATATCGTTGTGAAGGCCACAGCCGACTTCTTGCGACGCTCAATCAACATTGTTTCCACGAGCGGAAATGAGGACAGCTGCTTGATCATTGTCGAACCATGTGACGTAAACAGTGATGGCGCCCCATTGTTGTTAAGACATTACTGTGAAAATCACTATCAAAGCCTTGATGCTACAGGTGTACATTCATAAATGTACTTTTAAGCAAAACCCTCTCCTTATTTGAATATCACTTGCTACGAAATTGTGACATTTCTAAAGGAATGTGCTCTCCAACATTTTATAGAAATGTTTGTGGTATAAACATGTACATTTTTAATATACAGTACACTGGGTGGGTGTCATGGACATTAGTTCTAATTTGTCAGGTACACATTTGATCATGTTTGTCTACAACACCACATCTGTCTTTTTTTCCAATGTAGCTCCTTTATTTGGACCCCCCAACAGGTTCTGGCGAAGGCGTCTTCCGTGATGAAGAGGTATGCATGCAATTCGGTTGCTGATGACGTAAGGGCAGTTAACTCCAATACAAATTACATTGTAGGTTAGACATTCAGGTAATGAGATACTCTGACACTGTTAGTATATATATAGATGCTACAAGCAAAACCCAACCAAAAGTGGCCACAAGCAGGTGAGAACTACTTAAAATGCTCTATAAAATTAACTTTCCACTATTAACCCTACCTAGACCGGGGGGGGGGCTAAAAGTGCCCGCGGCAACTTTGATGTCACCTAGCGTCTGAACGGCTAGCCGTAGAACGGCCAAACTTGGTGACTTTTCCTAAAATATTGTTGGCAACAATTCTCTATCATTGGAATAAGATAATAATTTTTTGTGTTGCTAAATTTAGTACTTTTTGTTTCAACAATAGAGTTTTATGGGTTTTATGTCAAGTTACTCATGGTTTCTAATATTAATAACATCCCTGATAATTTTATGTAAATTTCATCATTAAATATGCATAATTTATGCTAATTTGATGACGTCATTGGCCAAAATCCAAGATGGCGGACCATATCATTAAAACAGGTATATACAGGTTATTTTCATTAAAATTTCATCAATACTTCCATTTCTTTTTCCAAAAAAGGTGTAAATGAAGGTCTTTAGTATGTTTACAGTGTATTTTAGGCTTTATCATGAAAAAAAAATATTTTTGAAAATTCAAGATTGATGATCCAAGATGGCGGATATCTTAAATATGCATGACGTCATTTTATGACGTCACCGGTGTTGCTATGGGCAACATAAGACTTAGTACACCCTAATATTCTGTCATTAACACTTTTGGTACAGTTATGTTGAATACCATTTAGTTTTCAGGGAAAAACCTATTTAGACGGTTTTGGCCAATAAAATCACATTAATGACGTCATAATGACGTCATATTACGTCATAATAGCATAAAAATTGTTGATATGATAGATTTTTACTAGTACACTATTCTCTGAAAATTTGGTGGTCATACGACATACCGTTCTTGAGTTCTTAGGGGGGGGG